TCTTCGCCCCCCAAATTTTGCATAATCTCTGTTTTTTAATTTCTCAGTCGTCTCAGGAGAAGTTAAGTATAATGCTTATGCAAATTTTGGGGGGCGAACAAGGTGCATTATGTGCATTATGGCGAATAAAAAGTGAATTTACGTTCTTCCAGTCTTTGTGACTTTATCGCGATTATTCCTACCCATTTACTTTATCAAAAGAAGGCCACCCCTCCCCAGCCCCCCGAAGTTGAATTCCTAGGATCCCTATCCAAGTTCATAAAGGGAAATAAAAGCTAATAAAATTTCGTCGTCCTTGTCCGGGCAATTTCACGACGTCAGGGTTCTATCAGGGTTCTATGATTTATCGCTTAGGGGTGAAGTCCCCTCGTCGCGCCTAAATCATTTTTCGGATATAGTTACTTATTTACAGTCATGATAACAATATTTTTGGGGGGAAAATGGGCATTTTTTTGGGGGGGGGGGCGGTGAAACTTCTACCCGTCCGAATATATTGAAAGAAGCCTGGTCGTAGTCCTGCAGAAGCGGCAAAGAAATGTGCAAAAAAAAGTGTGATACACGTGCAAAGTTGTTGTTTTGCCTTCTAAACCTTTTTTTTCTGAAGTTCTTTTTGCCACCACGACGTCGGATCGCAAGGTCCTCCTTGACGCACGGCGCGACTGGGTAACGCAAGTGGTACACAGAAGAGAACACAAGCTGCTGTTTCATTCACAAAGCAAAATGGAAAGTAAAATGAAAAAAATAGAGTCCTTTGAATTGTGGGAGGGATGGTTAGCACGGGCACAGGCGGCCCAGACGTAGTATATGTCAAATGAATATATTAATATTCACATGGACAAAATAGGATGAGTCGTCGAAACTCCCATGAACTAAAATAGTCCAAAAGTCAAAATATAACAAAACAAAGCTAAGATACCTTTAACTGAACCGGCCAGGAAGAAGAAGGAGACGTTCAGTTAAAGGTATCTTAGCTTTGTTTTGTTATATTTTGACTTCTGGACTATTTTAGTTTATGGGAGTTTCAACGACTCATCCTATATATTAATATAGAGTGTTTTCACTCACGTGGCCAGCATATATGCAAATTTATTGGAACAAAAGACTGCGTTTGCATAAGAAAAGAGTTCAACTCCCGGAGGCCTGGTTTGGGCATGGCCGCCCCTTTATTGTTTTGGGACACCAATATGGCGGCCGTGACGTCATGTGAAAACACTCTATATTTGACACATACTACGTCTGGGAAGCCTGTGGCACGGGTGATGGAAAATTGCAACCACGTGACAGGGCAGCCACGTTGCAGGTCAACACAATAGATTGTTTTTCTCGAAGAATTTATCTGAAAATAGAGTTTGGTTCACAGAGGAGAAAAATGCTTTTGTTCTTGACCACCAACATGGCCGCCGTGACGTCACGTGCAAACCAGCAAATACCCTAACATACCATAATGCTCCTTGTTTGTAGCCCAAAAATTTTGCATAAACATTGTCTTCAGTTTCTCTCTTGGGAGTTAAACTGGCCCCAAGAGAAACTGAAAACAATGCTTATGCAACATTTTGGGGTGACAAGCAAAGAGCATTATGGTATTTTATGGTATTTCTGGAGTGGTCAATTGTTTGTTAACCACGCACGTCCAGATATCTGGTGTTGAATATCCCCCAACAAAATGAATCGACCGAGGATTGACTATGGTCATGGTCGTACGCCGAATCTTCCATGATTACCTCACCACCAGCCAGTTACGAAAACCGGATTGGATTATATAAATCAACTCTTTTATTAGGCAGTTTGCCAGTATCACAGACTAATACTCACATGAAATGTTTAGCTAAGTTTATACTATTTATAAATTTCTACAGAGATTACAATTATTTTTTTAGCAGGCTCTAAGAGAATGGATCATTTTTCTGACTTAAAACTCATTTTGTCTCGCACCAAGAACAAGGTTTGGCAAATCACGGCGCGTTCAAAACCAACATAACCAATCACCGACCTCCGCAAAGATCGATCACATGACGAGGGAAACCATTCATTTTCATCGGCGTTTATTGGTTAGAACATGCTGCCAGCGTTAAGTCAGTTCATGGAAAAGATCTATCCAACGAAGGTAATAGTTGGTCACACTAACCAGTTCAGATTCTAATCCTTCAAAAGATGTAAAGATATCGGTACATTGTCGTCATGATTGAAATAAAACCTCTTGGATTTTGGTTCGTGCCTATTTTCTTATTTCAAAAAGTGATAATTTGCAAGCAAACTACTTGAAAAAACAACACAGAATCCATAACTTAAACTCGACGATAATCACATTAACATAAGGTTTAAGTTTTATATATGAACCAGTATAAAAGTCTAGTTTCTCCCATTCGCCACACTTGGACTCGCTTCCCTTAAAGAAATTAAGAAGTACTACACTAGTAGTACTAAAAACGGCGCATATCCAAATGCTGGACACTCCGATCAATAAAGTGACCGGTAGCACTCTCTTTTGAGTCCGTCTTATCATTAACAGCAAACTGTCATGGTGAGACTGAAACGATCAACTTCTCCCCTCTGTTTTCCTCGTTTGCTCGCACTAATGCCGAAAACCCTTCAATAACAATGACCGAGTTTAAGTTTTATGAGCCCGCGATACTGAGCACCCCACCCAAACCCTTGTTTCAACTAAAACCGCTGGACGCCACAACCTGGTTGAGGTCATTGTTATCTAAGGTCTTCCCCTAATGCCCCCACCCCCACCCTGCGAGCAGAGCCTCCTTTCGTCTTCTTGAGGAGAAGGGCTCTGCTTGAATTGCGTCGGGCCTTTCGAGTCGCCGCATGCGCAGACCCTCTTATCAAACTGGTTTTTCGAGTGCGAGCATTCGTTTATTGATAAACCGATGGTCACAACTGAGCCCGCTGTTCCAAGCGCACGGCTATTAGGCCTGGGTTCGAAGCTGTATCTTAGCAACATGCAAAGATGTTAGCCAAAATCGAGTACGCGAAAGAAAGGCTCTGCTGTTAAGGAGGAGACTGCTAGCAGTCCAGTTAACCTTTTCAGTCCGAGGAGTGACCAACATCAATAATCTCCAAACAATATAAGTTCATTATCAACAGAAAAAGCTATGAGAATTAACAAAATGATCACCAAAGGGGAGAGCTCGCCCATTACTAGTATTATTTTTAAAGACCAATGTTAAAGACTGGATATAGCTCATAGTCCAGGCTTGGAAGGTATCTTCTCTAATGCATATTTTAACCTTTTCACTCCAAGAGGAGTATGGCGTGATTACTCGCCACCCTAACTTTTAAATCCGTGGACGAAATGCTATGATGTTACCATTCAAATGGACCTCTTCGGCAAAACTTTTGCGAAGCACTATTTCATTCTTGCGGTTTCACGAAAAGAAATTTGAAATTTTTGTTTGAGTTATTGGTCACTCGTAAGAGTGAAAGAATTAACATTATTCCTTCTTATAAGCACCGACTGCAAGCTAGTACCATTTCAGGGGCGGATCTAGGGGGAGGGTGCAGGGGGTGCGCACCCCCCCCCCCCCCCCCCCC